TGGCCGGTGAGGGTCGGCCGACCACCCTCGCCGGCCTCGGGCAAGGGCTGCAATGCCCTTGCTGACCAAAGCGAGGGCGAGTGAGCCCTCGCCTAGATCCGGCGAGGGCCGCGACGCCCTCGCCAGATCTGGCTAGGCAAGGGCTTGGTGGCCCTCGCCGACCCCAGGCGAGGCGCTTGGTGGCCCCACGCCCTCGCCTAGGGCCGACGATCCTCACCTAGCTAGTTCTGGCGAGGGCTCGAGCGCCCTCGCTTTGGCCGGCGAGGGTTCGAGCGCCCTCGCTTTGGCCAGCGAGGGCGTCGGGGCCCTCACCCATGGCCGGCGAGGGTCGGCCGGCCACCCTCGCCGGCCAACTGAAAAACCCAAAAAAAAAAACAGGGAAAAAGGAAAAAGAGAGAGAGAAAAAAACTATAAAAAATTCAGAAAATTATTAAAATATTATTTAAAAATGCCCAAGTCAACGCTACGTGGCTGGTCGACGTCCACCTCAGCGATTTCCGATCAAAATTGGCTGGATGGATTCAATTGATAAGAAATGTAAAGGTTTAGGACTCAATTGGCAAACTTAAAAGGTTTAGGACTGAATTGGCAAAAATGCAATAGGTTTAGGATTCTTTTGACAATTTTCCCCATGGTGTTCAACCATCCCGCTATTACGGGCGTACCTTGTGGTGGCGATCTTTGTGTGTGTGTGTGTTTGAGAGAACAAATTTCAAGTTGTTAGGACCACATCGACAAAAAATTCTTCACAAATTTTTCCACGAGGATCATTTTGAATAAGAAAAAATAGATGGGCAATATTTCGAGCAACAGCATAAGGGTTACATGCGGCATTGTCCCAAAATTTTATTAGTTTTGATGTTAGAAGAATTTTTTTTATGGTCAAGATGTTAGAATACTTGACTCGCTCTTTCTTGGTGATTGATTACTTAATCTATATCTATTTATATGCTATCACTAGGTATCTATTTATATGCTATCACAAGGTTAACTTGCAAATTTGATATCCATTCTTTAAAAGTCTAGAACACCCTGATATATGTTAAACCTATTATTTATTATACTATTGATAGATGGATAAAATGGTAATCTTTATTGCTTATTACGGAAAGATTTTTTCTTGCATTTATCGTTTATTAATATGTTTATTTAACAACCCGTTTTCTCAAAGAGCAGCATTTCATATTTTTACTCACATCCATTCGCTTATGGTCATCAAAGTAAGTTGCTCCTCCAAGCTCCTCCACCACCTGCAATACTGAAAGGAAACAGTAAAGATGAAGCTAGAAAAGTTAATTTACATGGAATAGGCACATGACTAGGGCTGGTGATCCTCCAATTATGCTTATAAGGATTTCAAGCTTAAAGGATGAGCCAACTGCTCCAAAAACCTCCAACTCCGTGTATGCCGAAGTAATGATATAAAACTAAACTTGTCTCCATGTCAGTAGAATAGTAAACTCTCAACTCCTTTGGGAAAACATTTTGTCTTTCAACGGCCAAAAGGAGTAAGATAATCTTTTTGTCTAAGTAAAGTTAATTGAAGGAAGAATAAGAAAAGTACAACCCTAGTACACTGGAAGTACACAAAAGAACATACCAGGAAGACCTACACAAAAATAACCAAAAGAGAGAGAAACTTGGAAAAAAGCCCATATCGGAAAGAGATCCAAACTTCATCTATTCCGTAATAATATTCATCAAACAGAAAGAAGACTTCTCGAGTTTATCATATATTTTTCTACTTCTTTCAAAAAGGGAAGAAGATAGTCAGACCAAAAGAAGAAGGTTGTCCTTGGATTGCCTATTTGGGAGTTAACACATACATTTGTTTTAACTATCAAGAAAAATTTCTTAAGCAAATTCTAAAATGTTCAAGTTGGGAATGTTATGACCTGAATGCCAAATCTACAGGTGAAAGATAGCATAGTCAACAGTTTGATTATTGGTTGACCAATGGGAGAAAACATATTTTAAGGATCCGGTTCCCGGTTCCGGTTCCGGTTTCGGTTCCCGGTTCCGGTTTCGGTTCCCGGTTCCAGGTTCCGGTTCCGGTTCCTATAGGAACCGGGAACCGGACCCTCTGTCCATGGAACCTGGAACTGAACCGGACCCACCGGGTCTGGTTCTCCGGTTCCCGGTTCTACCACGGAACCGCGCTCACCCCTAAAGAGTAGCATTTCATATTTTTACTCACATCCATTCGCTTCTTTTTTTTTTATCATTTCCTTTTTTTGTAGGATTTTTTAATCATTTGAAACATATGAGTTTTTAATCAATTGCAGCCATTACATTAAAAATTGTATTCGCACACGAAACACATTGGGCGTTCGCACATACTTGAGATCTAATCCCAACAAAGCCAACCAAAAAAACAAAGTAAATTATTGCCTTTGGCAAAAACCGTAATTACTAGATAGGGAAATCTTAGCGTTTGCTCATGATTATTTGCTTTGATGCTATGACATAGCCGTTCTTGTGATATGAGCGAGTCTCTGTGATTGTACCATGTTGATTCATTTTTCAGATTTACTTGCTTTGTGGGATTCACGTTTATTTGTAACTTTTTGGAATTGATTTTGTCTTGCATGTGAAATGAAGATTTTCCTTTCGACCGAAAAAACTATCCTAATTTGTAAAAGTTATTATTTAGTACTAAAGTCGTTTATAGATCTCACAGTCACCGAACTCTTATATGATCACTCCTTACCCAAAAAAAAAAAACTCTTATATGATCACATCATTCGGCTTCCCTACATGAGTTGGCAAAGTATAAGAATTTATTTAAAAAAAATGCTAGTGATAGTCGTTTTATATGCACGCAAATCCAATATAAAATTAATTAGCATTTGAATATCAGAAAGAAGGGTACCGAGCATAGCAGCAAGACTCATTCACCACGAATTGAGCACTACCGATAAAGTAATGTTTGATATTAAAGTAAGCGAATGAAATTGTTGCCAACTATCGAATGAGCATAGTTCCGTGCGGAATATTCCATTGGAAGCACCCAACCCACCTTTTGAAAAGCTTCATTAGCTCAAACACGAAGTATCATTACGTTCGAACCGAGTGGGACCATTATAGCGTCGGCCAAGAAGGTCGCTAGCGCTGGTCGTGCCAGTTGCAGTCTCCAACCATTTTACTTATATCATATTTGAGAGAGAATATAACATTATTAAAAGAATATGTTTAGTCATCTATCCATGCTATACAAAGAAAAGTCTATAACCGTACAACAAATTTCAAGCTAAAACTTTTATTGAAAAGCAAATCTCCGTGATAGCTCGTGCCTATTATCAAGATGGACTATAGTAGGTCATTCTTACCGACCAAAAAAAAAAAATAGTGGATCATCCTTGAATGTGTGTTTGTACATAAAATGAATGATTCAAAAAGAGTCAATATAAATTTAATTTCGCAAATTTCTCTCATCTTATGTCCACTTACATTTGTTTTTTAAAATAAATTTATTGTTGTACATATTTCTTTTACCATCAATTAAATAATTTTAATTTCGCTATAATCCTCTAAATTCACCTCCTAGAATGCTTTGAGTCTTTTTTTTTTTTTGGGTCGAAAAATGCTTTAAGTCTTGAAACATTGTTTTTTCTTTCTTTAAGGGTTCTTTGCACAAGTTCGAGTATTTAGTTTTTTCTTGGTGACACTAGAAAAACTAATAAATCAATAAAGATCCATTCAATTCCAAGTAATCTAAAAGGAGACAAACTCATGCATAGGTGCATAGAGTTTTAGGTCCTTATTGAAAGGACTAGACCCGACTCTACATGTCTCGATCTAGCAGGAAATTGTGATAACCAAATTTAAAATTGCGCCGGGATACGACTACTAGCATGCTTAATGTTATTTTTTTTTTTGTAATTGAGGAAACCTATTTTATTCATATGTTAATTCAATTAAGTTATTAGATGGATTAGTTCTATTGAGCTTCTTAATTGACAAAAGCTGGGGATTTAACCCCTATATACTGTACATGGAATTATTTGAGATGAAAGCGACATCGATTTTATGAATATGGAGATGCATTCCCCTTGAAGGTACGAAACATTGATCATAAAAAGTACATTTGCCTTTTTTATTGCACTTTTATCTTAGGGTATGTTTATTTTGTGAAATATGAATAATTTAGAAAATATTTTTTTGAAAAAACATTTTTCATCGACTGATTATTTCGAACGAAATAATTGATTATTTTTAGGAAATCATTTTCTGAATCATCCATTTTTTTCCGAAAGAAAGGAAGCCTTAGTTTATCATTTACTAAATGGTTAATACCACAAAAAACCGTAAACTGGAACATCTGCTATAAATTTACCCAAAATTAAATTTTTGACCAAAAAAACTTCAAATTAGTACACCTGTAACAAATTTACCCCAAACCAAAAAATCCAAACCGGTACATTTATGACAAATATATCCTCTGTTAGTTTTCGTTAAATTAGATTAATATAAAAAAAAATCACAAACTGGTGCACATGTGACAAGCAGAGGGTAAAACCTCAAATTAATAAACCCGTTAACTGCCACGTGTCATTTAACCCAATAATTTGATTATAAAATTTAACGGAAACTAACAGAAAGTAAATTTGTCACATGTGTATCAGTTTGTGATTTTTCGTGATATTAACCATTTACTATATGCAGCCTAGAAAAGCTTCCTTTTTTTTTTCCCAGGAGTTAAATTAAGGTCCAATTAAGAGCAATAATGAAAGAATGCAATAGAAATCTTATCTTTTACATTTTCATCTTGCAAGAAAGAAACGGATCCTTCCGACCCAAGCCGACTCCCCACGATCAAATTAGGTTAAGACAACGGTTTCGTCATTCGTGGGAGTAGTGAACGGCGACCAGGCACGTTAACCTTGGCCACTCTGGTCGAGCCCGCTAAAATTTTCCCCCGCACGCTCGGATTTGTCCTGCCTACACAAATATAGGATGTCGACGATGAGAATGGGAGACGGGATTTGCAATTTTCTAACAGTGGAAAGAGAGAGAGAGAGAGAGAGAGAGAGAGAGAGAGAGAGAGACAGGGGTGCATTTCGAGCGGATACGAAAGAGGCTCGCGGCGTCAGCCGATGATGGCCCACCAGAATTCCTAACGAAGGGAGTAATTTAAAGATGGCCGCATTTGCTAAATACTACCAACGATCGAGACGATCTGCCATTCCTCTTGACGTTAATTGCTTTCCTCCGTTACATTCCTTCCCTCCTTCTTCTTCTTCTTCTTCTCTGCCTCTTCAAATCCAATACCTCTCGTTTTCTTGGCAATTCGTTTTCCCCGGGGAGAAGGGAGTCGAAAACCCATTGCTCCTTTCCTGAAGCACCCGTTTCTCGACTCGGCCTCGAGCATCGGAATCGCGCGATCTTGGATCGCGCTCGCTCTTCTAAGCACCGAGTTGGGTTTTTTTTCTTGGAGACAGCTTGGAGATCCGAAGGATTGAAGCGAGCTTTGGCTCGGTTTGATCACCTGGGTCGGGCTAGATTTCTCTCATGGGTTGGAGATACAGGGCTGGTTTGTTCCTTATAGCTGCGGTCGTAATCATCTGGGTTACCTCTGCTGAAGTCACCCAGGTTGGTCCTCTTATATTTCTCATGAATTCCGAGCTCTTCTGCTGCTGGGAATTTTGTGGATTCTCGAGATTTGTGAGGCTTTTTTCTGTGGTTTCTGAACAGGATGGGACGATACCAATGTCCTTGCCGTTTAGGTGTTTGTTAAGGGATGTTTTGAGAAGTAACTGGTGGAGTCTTTATCTTGCTTCAAATAGAATGTTGGGTTTTAGATTTACCTGAGCTGAGCTTCCCGGAGGAACTCAATTAATTATCTGTATTGTAAGGATGTATTTGGTAATACCCGTGGACCTTCTTTTCAAGGGTTGTAGCGAGAAAATAAAATCTAAGCTTTGGCATTTTGTTGCATTCATTCCAATCGGGTTTGCTTGAAATTGACCTTGCGGTTTGGAATTCCACTATTGGTTTGACATCGATGAATCGATTGGACTATGTTCTGTGCTGAAATGCCGTTCTATGTTTTGGTCAAGTAATTGAGGCTCAATAAATCATAGTATCTAGGGTCTCTCCATGTAGCTTGTGACTGTCCAACGATTACGATTCTGATTCCTGTAGTGTAGTTTGAAGTCCAGCCTACCGGATAGCTAGCTAAGTGAAACAATGGTTAACTGCTTGACATGGAGGTGAACTGATCATACAAGATTATCTACATTTTCCTCGGGCTTTTTGTGCATCAATGGTGGCCCCATTGTATATATCTCTGTACTAAGCAATGATTAACTGCTTGACAAGGAGGTGAACTGATCATACAAGATTATCTACATTTTCCTCAGGCTTTTTGTGCATTAATGGTGGCCCCATTGTATATATCTCTGTACTAAGTTTTCTGGACCTGCGATTGTATTCAGGTTATGAGATATTTGAAAGCAAGAAGGTTTGTTTTAAATAGCTAGTTTACTTGACAGCTTGTGCCCATGTCCCTGTAGGAAGCCTCTTATGCTCCTATTATCCAAGTCTTCTCTTGCTCCCCCACTTGGCCAAACAGATTTTTTACGCCCACAAGTATAACCATAATACTTTCATTGGTAATATCTAGTGCTCTAGCATGCAATACAGGCAATGCAAACTCACGTGAGGAAATAGACTGCTATTGCCCGGGCTGTGTCCATTTTCTGTTTCTTGTTTACTGACTATTGTAGTGGCACTTACCCCATGATTTTTTGTGAAGTAGTGAAATCAACTTAACAAAGTTTCAGTTAAAATTTAATCATAAACTTTATGAATGATATGAGGGAAATAGGGCAACTCCATTAGACAATAGTCGCTCTATAAAGTTGAGATGCCATTTTCCAAATATGCAAATTATAATGATGACTCTCTTTGTTTCTTGTAATTTTTTCGTTGTATATTATGCTTGAGTTATGTCTCATATGCTGCGAACTTTCTCACTACAGGATATTTTTACAGATTACAAGCAGCCATTTGCAGTGACATATATTGGAGCTTCTCTTATGGTAGTTTACCTCCCAATAGCATTTCTCAAGGACTGGTTATATAAATTACTTAAACAGCGCAGTTCGAAAGTGGGCAAACATGCAGAAAGCACGAATGAAACTTCTCCTGGAATTAGTTCTCCCCTAAAATATATTGGTGCACAGAATGTGTTTGAAATTGAATCTGCTTTGCCCAGAAAAGATAGTGAAGTTGACCTCTCACCTAATGGAGAAACAAGTCCATTGGTTCCTAAAAGAAAAGATGATAGGAAAAGGGAGCTAACAGCGAAGGAGATTGCTATCTATGGATGTTACATTGCCCCTATCTGGTTTGTAACAGAGGTACTCAACTCGATTAACTTTTCAGTGTTCCCTCCTTTTTTTTTTTCGGTAAACTAGCTTTTGTTTTTCTACTTGTAACTTCTACTTATCCATGGAAGAATGATAAATAACTCTGTACAACTCTTCGTGTTTCATGTAGTCAAATGCTGATATAAACACTTATTAGTGTTATTGTTTCTTTGACTGCACCTACTAAAATAATTTTCCTAGAGCATATAAACTTTTTTATACCCTTGGTTTCAATATATAGTTTCCGGGCTTGGATTTGGAACAAATGAATCAGTTACATATGTATAGACATATTTAACTGATTCATATACATATGGGGCAAGTGTTTACATTTTCACAAGTGCTTTTTGGTTATTCTAGTGGCTCTTAAGATCCTTGTTATGGATTGATACCTTTGTTTTCTTAGGTTTCTTTCCTTGATATTGTTGAATGTCCTTGTTTTTGTTATTACTGTTTACAACTGGCTATAAATGTGCTTTATAGATTTCGTGTCCTTGCAGTGAAAGAATAAGTACAACCTACTAGCTATTGCATGTATGATGTTTGACCTTACATCCTGTCCTTGTCATCCACCATTCTGACACATTTCCATCGGGTACAGGATGTATGTTGCATGCGGGATCATTTGAGTGACTTTATCTCGTGTTTTGAGTGATCGGAATTTTGGCGAGGAGCTCTGTTTGAAGCATGATCCTGCCACAATGCAATAATCATTTGAGTGGAAACTGTTTATTTCATTGTTCTTAAGTCAATATCTTGTAGTTATTCTGTTAATCATAGGAGTAAAATCAAGCTTCATACAATATAATAGGAATTGCGTAATGCTGATTGACAGTATTGTGTGGATTGCAGTATTTATCAAATGCAGCCCTCGCAAGAACAAGTGTTGCTAGTACGACTGTACTATCATCCACTTCAGGTCTTTTCACTCTGTTCATCGGTGTCCTTTTGGGCCAGGATTCTTTAAATGTATCAAAAGTTGTTGCAGTCTTCATCAGCATGGCTGGTGTTGCGATGACAACTCTTGGGAAAACTTGGGCAGCTGACGACTCCAAATTTAACACTTCTTTGTAAGTTTTTTAGTGATGCTGTTGTTTATACTTTTGTATATATGTGGATTAAAGTTAGGCAGTTTTAGTACCATACTTTAATCATGTATAATGAAATGTAGCTGACTTGCAAAGGTGGTGGTGCCATTACTTTTTTTCTCTAATAAGAGTGTTCGCTATCACCGGAGTTGCAAACTGGAGAGGCCTTTGTTTGTGAAACTTCGGCATCATTATTGTGGAGAATACCCTGGCTAGGTTTAAATGGGATAGCATTATAAGCTTTTATTTTCTCCAAGGGAAGATGGTTTTTTAGATCTTCAAATTTGACTTCTCTAATTCCTTAATGCTACAAAATGTTCTCATTCAGTGGTACCTTATAAATTTTAATTTTTTTTTTCACATGAAATGTGTTGGGCACCATTTGAGTCTGGAGTTTACACATCAAATCAAACTACCTAGTTATGTATGGGAAGAGAGTAAAGCAATTTTGTAACCTGGCACACCAAATTCATCCCAACCCTTTTTTTTTCAGGTGTCTTACAAAAAATACAATCAATGGAGTTTTTATCTTGCAGGATCAATTACATAAATTTTTTGTTATCAGGGTCCTGTCCTCCATGAAGACAGACAATCGGAGGGGCTCCTCGAGATTTAACATTTTACCTTTGTATTTTATACGTAACCACAAAAGATTACATTTGTTCCCATTCTTTTATTGATTAATGGCATTGGTCTTTGGAGCTTTAATTTTGGCAATACACAACTTGCCAATTGTGAGAGGAAATGCTGGAATAATTGATTTTTTGTTTTAAGGTTCATGTTATCTCCAATTCCTTAGTCCACTAATTATGTCAATCTACTGTTGGAAGCTGCATTTCAGTGTGTGGTTTCCCTGTTTTGCTTTAAATAGTACAAAGAACCATTGACATGAGCAAAATAGCGTGCTTCAATGCATGTTTGCATATTGTGATGCCTAATTTAGTTTATGGCAATTATGTAATTGTTAGAAATGGGAAACGCTCTCTTGTTGGGGATCTCTTCGGCTTGCTTTCAGCTATGTCGTATGGGCTATTCACAGGTAAGATGTTCTCTCTCTTGCTCTCTCTCTCTCACACAATATTTATATCGACCTACCAGTGAACTAAAATAAATGTTACAGTACTTCTCAAGAAGTTTGCCGGTGAAGAAGGGGAGGGAGTTGATGTGCAAAAGTTGTTTGGATACATTGGATTGTTTACCTTTGTAGCTCTATGGTGGCTTGGTAAGATCCTCTCTCTCTCATGAGCTAGGAATACGGAAAAACCTGATTATTTTTAGGCAACTTGGGTGGCAGCTATATGTATGTGCTTGTCTGTTGATGATGGTGTGCTAAAATTTAATATGGTTTTCCATTGGCTTTTACCCTTTTATTTTTCTATAGTTTTCATTCTTACCCCTAGTCAAATTGTATTTTCCTGATAGTCTTTGCAAAAATCTTAACATTTGATGGGGTCTGAAGAGATGGAAATTTTGGTGTTTTACGTTCTTGTTTGCACCTTTATAAAACTTTGGCTTGGTTTCTCATGTGTTAAATGTTTAATGAATGAAGTTTGGTCAAGCAGTCGGAAATCTTGCAGACTTTAGAAATCACTTATTTGGAGTGCTCTCTATTTCATAATCTTTTAGTTTTTATGAGACACATGCTTTTTAGAGCATAGTGGTTCCTTGATTTGAGAAATTCCTGTCATCTTCTATCCTAAAGGTCTATAGGACCCATTTAGTCCTTTTTTTCTTCGGAAAAAGAATACAACAAACTTTCAAGACATTCTGCTCCACATTTTTTAGTTGTGATGATTGTAATGAGAACTTCTGCAACATCATCAACTTGAATTTTTTTTTCTCATTATTTCCTTTAAAAAAATTAAATTTCCTTTTCATGAACTTAAAGTAGCTTCTTGATTCTGGACTTGAATCTGTCTTTTCTCTTGTAGTATTGCCGTTGACAGCATTAGGGATAGAGCCCAAGTTCAAAATTCCCAATTCTGTAAAAATGGATGAAGTTGTTCTTGCCAATGGCTTAGTTGGAAGTGTCCTTTCCGACTATTTCTGGTATGTACCTTTATTTCTTCAGTAAGACATTTTACACATGCCGTTCCTAACCACGTGTCCGACTATTTTTTTAGGGCATTGTGTGTTGTATGGACAACACCATTAGTGGCTACACTAGGGATGTCTCTCACCATACCACTTGCAATGTTGGCTGACATGGTGATCCATGGTCGTCATTATTCCGCAATTTACATCCTCGGCTCAACTCAGGTGATTAATCAATCTTATTGGTAGGGCTATTAGGCAACTAAACTGTGACATGCCTTCACTAGTAGCACAGTAATAAAAGATGGCCTGAATTCAAAGACTTAAAAGATGAAGCTGTCTGTGACATTTTCCATACCTGTAAAAGATGCATGTATTTCATTATTATACACGTGAGCTAAGTTTTTAATTTAGGCGTCTTTGAAAGATACTGTCGAAGCTTGTCAGGAACTTATTACATTGCCAAAAAGTCCAAAAATTACTGCTTTCATTGTTGATAGTGCATGTATGCGCATTTTGATATGCTGTTTGTGTGCATTTTGTGTAGGGGATCTGACATATGCTTCACCTGACTTTTGGTTGAAATTCTTTTATGAACTCTCTACATTGCTGTACAGCTACATGGTGTCAATCATTATCAGGGTCTAGCCCCAAAGTCCATAATTAACAAAATACCTTTTGGAAGAACTAGTGTAATTATGAAAACCTGCCAATGGAAATTGAGGACCTTTCTTCTTGGTTGAGTTATTAGATGTCCAAAGCATGACACACTTATAATTTCTTGACGACACCATATAGCTGATAGGTTGTTTCCTGCTATCTTAACAAGGAAGAGATTGACAACAGTCCCTACTGTTTTATTCTGGTATTCCTGTGATCATTGGAGAGTTCCTGTCTATTAGCATTTAGTCAATTGGATATCAAGGCAACAAAATGGCTTTATTTCAGAAAAGAATTCGATTTGTAACATCATGGCCAATCATGCATCTGCAAGAAAATTTACTGTCTTTTGTGCCCCCTGGGCTCCACTGTGTTACAAGTCAACAGTGATGGAAGCTACTTTTTTCAGGAAAATGGAAAGTCAAACTGATGAGAGTAAAAGCTAACAGACTAAGCAGCAAAACTTGAGCGTTTGTCAAGTGATGTGAATTTCTTATTCTGGTAAAAAATGTGTCAATCTGATGCATAAAAATAAGTGCACTCAGTTTATTTGGGTCTAGAACTCAGCTATTGTGAACCTGATCAAATACTGTGCAAAAAACTATACTCTTCCAAGGAAATTTGTCCTATGAGTTCTTGCATTTCTTTGATCTGCACATAACATCAGATTGCTGTTAATTCCTTCGATAGATTAATCTGTCTATCTTGAATAGGCCAAGTATTTTTGTGTGGTGGGATCTCCACTTCAACTATTTTCCCAGTGTTGAACATAATGATTATTTGGATACTCTCGACAACATTGTAGGTATTCGTAGGATTTGTGATAGCGAATCTTTCAGACTGGTTCTCAAAGAAGTTGGGTTTGTAGCACGATGGTTCATGGATAATATGGCTGTATTGTCGATTTAGCTCTGCCAGTGCACTAATCATGCACTAGGCATCGTTTTGAGGAAACTTATCGACATGCAGGCTTAAACGGGAGGTAAAGTAGATGTGATTATGTTTGTCATTGATATGTAAATGGGATAAGTGTAAGTTTGTTCCCCCATATCTGGTTTGGGTATTGAGCCCTTGATGTAATAAACCTGTCTCTCTACACAAGAAATTCTTTGGTTTCTTTAGTTGATGCAGGCAATCTCAATTTGCAGATTACTGTTATCAATTTATCTTCTGGCAGGTCGAGATTGCGATGTGCCATTGCTTCTTCAATCTTTCCTGTTCTACCCTCCACGGTGCAAGGAACTCGTAACACCTGTTAAGAAAAAACCTCTTTCTCTCGCATAAACAATTACATCTGTTCTAATTCACATTAGCACATACAAAAGCTGTATTATTTGATGTGGAAAACGAAAAAAAAAAAAAGATCCAGGTACTAAGGTCAAAAGTAATAGTGATTCATATTTACCAAATGGATGAGAAGTTTATACTGTCAGATGGAAATCACCTCGTAATATATGACACTTCTAGGCAGACGGAAGAGGACTCTTCATGCCCTATCCAGCTTCATGAAAACTGAAGAGAATTAGTTCACTGGTATTTAGCTTGTGCTGGAGAAAAAGCTTCTCTCATGAGATAAGCCACATGCCACCTTTGAATTTGTATTGTGCAACCATAAATGCAATGGACAAAAAAAGTACCAAAAAGGTTATGAATTTATTACATTGGTTCCAATTCAGTTCTAAACATTTTCACATTGGTACTAATTGAGTTCATCCATCCAATTTAGGTCGGAAATTGTTGACGTGGATGCCGGTAGTTTTATGTAGCACGATTGGTGTTGATGTCATTTTTTTTTTCGAATTTTTTAGTAATTTTTCTTTCCTTTTTTCCTTTCCTTCTCTTTTCCTTCTTTTTTTTTTACCACTTTGGCCAATGAGGGTTGACAGAGCTTGCGACCTTGCCTAGATGAGGGCGAGGTGCAAGCGGTCGGGGGCGAGGTTTCCTTGCCCAGATCTAGGCAAGGCCAGCCTTGCCATGGCCTAGCCAGTCACAGGTGAAGGCAGCCATTGCCTTGCCAGATTTGGGTGAGGTGGCCTTGCCCTTGGCCATTGAGGGCTAGGCCGGCCTCGGTAGGGTTTCGTCGGCCGCGAGCGAAAGTCATTTTGAACGGAAAGTAGACGTTTAGAAGTATCAAGGACATGAAGAACATCATCTAAATGTAAAGAAAGATTTGAAATAGAGAAGTGAATAGAAGAAATACCAATATTAGTGATTTTGAGATTTTTACCGTTTCCCACGTGTAATTGATCCGATCCCTTATAAGCTTCGTAGAAAGAGGGTATTTGTATATTCGATGTAACATGGTGGGAGGCACTTGTGTCAAGGTACCAGGATAGGGTGTTGGTAGGTGAAGGTAAAAGAGGGGGAAGGGCATGGCTCAAGTTGGCAGTGAGAGAGTACAAATGTGGATAAGTTGAAGTATACAAAGGGATACGTGTAGGAGGCGGATAATAAGACATACCTCAAGGACAATAGTTCAATGTGGCAGCAGTGTGATTTGTACATTGACAGATGAAACACCATAGTTGACCTTATTGAGCACTACGAGCACCACAACCACGACCAAAGTGATCACCATGACCCCAACGACCTCTGGACAGACCACGGCCAGAGAAAGAGGAACTAGGAGAGGTTGAGACAAATGTAGAGGAATTTTGTTAAGTAGAGTTGGCTGTAACGGAGTTAGCCTGAGAGGAAGGCTTGGAGATCTGCAACTTTTGGAAGGCCTTAATGCTATCTTGACTAAAGAGAAGACCTTAAAGATCCACAAATAAGATTAATTCAGAATGACCAAGTAATGTAAGAATAATATCCTGGATATTAGATTAGAGACCACAAAAGATGTGGACATTGAAATCCTTTGGTTCAAGAGGCTTGCTTGCAACACCCATCTCATTAGCAATGGATTTAGCACGTTGGAAAAAATCAATGACCGATTTGTTCTATTTCTATTGCAGATGTTGAAGATTGAGATGAAGAGAGAGCATACTTGTAGCAAAAGCTGAGCCAAAAGAGGCATTCATATCAGAGATTACTTCGCTAGTATGTTTATCGAGAATGAGAAGTAAAACCGATTCTAAGAGGGACGCAATTAGAGGACTCATGATGGAAGCGTCCTGTTGTTGCTAGAGAGTTTCTTGGGCTGCATCATAGGGACACGATTTGGTCCCATTGACATGACCACATAGATTCAACAAATGAGGTGGGAAACAGGATAACTTGTGCTTTCCATAACAAGTAATTGGAAGTTGTGAGATGTAGAGAAAGAAAGTGGTGAGCAGATCCAAACGGAGGAAGTGTAGAAGAAGAGATTGTAATGGTGGTTATGGTGGTGGTGGTGGGAAGATTCTCCAAGACCATGCTGATCATCCGAGAGGAAAAAAATGAACAAGAAAGCTAGCGTTGAAAGGGGTGAGCCTTATATGGCCTTTGATACCATGTCAGAGACATAAATTGTTATATATTTCCATTAAACTTAAGTGGGTATTTATATACCCAAGAGTACATTCTGGAAGATTTACTTGTAAGAAAATAAATATATAAAAATATAACATTTTCTAACTTCTAAAAATAGGGTTCCAAAACTTCCTAAACTGATAGCCCTATATTTGGTAAATACTAAGGCAATCCAGGAACATAAAGGCCTTATTCACTCATTCTGTGATATCTGGATCATTGGCACAGAACACATAGCAAGGATAGAGAAAATAGCTGACCTCGATAGCTTCAGCAACCCCAGGGATTGTTCTTATATCACCACCAGCAATGCTTAGTTTAAAGTCAATATTCTTTTGCTAGAAATGGCACGAGAAGAAGCACCAAGTGTGAGCATTGATTGCAGTACATTGTGCAAAAAGAGGTTCCAACAAAGCATACACCCATGTTTGAAATTTTAGACCTTAAAGTACTCCATATCATATGATATGGTATTCTAGATGATCAAAAGGGTGAGAGAAAAGAATTATAAAATCTCACCGTTTCCCGTAAAGAATGACAGACGGCTCCAAAGCACGGAATTTCATCCCCTAGCGGTTTGAAAATTAGCCTGAAACCCCAGCAAATCCTTTATCTTTCACCTATATAACAGGGTGACACAGTGAGAAAGTTATAAGTTCACTCTTGTAGCTGACCTGAATGCCAACTTTAGAAAACACTTAACAGCAAATCAACTGTGAATATTAGCTGTCAAAGTAAGATAAAAAAATGTGCTACAACATCTATGGAACACTAAAATTATCATTCAATTCTTCCAGGAAAACAAGTTTTTACTGCAATCTAAGAGGCCTGAGAAGAACAAAAGTCAATGTTTAAAAGAAAATTTGTATTTTTTTTGTAAACAAAGAAAATTTGTAGCTGTCTATTGCTTATGGCTGCAGAAAATTGCCTTGACCTGAAATGGGAGACAATGGCCCATGCAGCGAAAAGCAGTGATTAAAATTACCTGCACAGGCAAACCTACGCCAACTCTCGTTCTAATATCAAGTTCTATATGAGGATCACCATGCCACTCCATTTTCAACTCCATGGTGACTTGCCCACTTTCACTTTCAGCATCGACTATCCAAATTCCTGGTACACATTTTATTTAACGAGTGTAGCCAATTTTCCCAACGGAGCTCATAGCATGTTCACCGATGGAAGAACCCCAGAAATAGCTTATGTTATTCCCATTTATTAATTTTGATGTACTAATTCTCTTTCTCTCAAAACAATGATGGCTTTATTATCAGATAATTCATTAACTTCATTAAGAAGAGTAAAGTACCCAACCGGTTGTCGGTGTTTATCAGAATTAACAGGGGATGAAAGTTCATGCACGATGAGTTGCTTATTAAACTATAATAAAGGCTCGTAAAGAGCTTAATTTGCAATGATGGACTTGATTCTTTCTTCAATTGTAAGATCATGTGAAAATCGTGTAAAATAGGGAAACTCTGGCTTTCTTGGCCAGGTGTCAAGGTGTTGGACCCCGTTATGGCGAGTTCGCACTATTTTTCTTCGTTACCATAATTGAAAGGATAAATTCTCAAAGAAAGCAAGGAATAAGAGGTATAACACTAGCATTTGTTTTCAGATATGCTAGCAGAGAATCAAGGAGAGAGAAGGAGGGAAGCATCAAACCTGATCCCGATATAGATATCTTTATGAAGGTGAGAGATGAGATTAGGACTAATGAATGGTCGAACAGCTTTCTGATTGCAGATTTTTAAACTTTCATTTTACTGAATGTGCAAGATATGGTCAAAAACATTAAAATGCCTGTTAGAGCTTCTGTTGATCTTAATCTTCTGCAGGCAGCAGCACGGGAAGGACAGGAGACTAATGTTGTTATCGATTATATAATCAAGGTATAACCAAGAAAGCTAAAACACCACTAGTCCATTCCTGTTTTTGCCACGAGGAAAAGGGGAAAGCACAAAGACCTAAAATTTCCGTTGTTTTCGCAATGCCTAATTTTAGATATTAGGACTTGAAATCTGTGCCGACACGATAGTGGGAGATGAAATTATACAAGGCATCTTTAGTATCCCGTGTTGTTAGATGATTGCAATCCCTTCCTTTATCAAGTTAGGTTGATTTTGTTCAATTCGTGTTGACATAAAACAGCAGAGATACTAGTCGGGCCAGCCAAAAGCACTCTTTATGAACGAATTATCGACTGGCTTGGATTGTTGGACGACATTCCAAATAGTGAACTCACTCAGACAGTCCATACACATTTTCAATGGAACTGCTCTACTACACCTCCTCCAGCCTGCGCCGGAAACGACCTTTTTGATGATATCATCCTTCTCTCGGATGGGCAAATTTTTTACCAAGGTCCCCGAGAAAACGTGCTTGAGTTCTTCGGACGCCTGGGTTTTAAGTGTCCTCAAAGGAAAGGAGTATCTGATTTCTTGCAAGAAGTAATATTCCAAATCGCATTTATATTTTTATTTTTTAGGGAAAAAACCACCAAAAACCCCAAACTTTGTCATCTGTGACACATTTACCCCAAACTTTTTTTTGTGACACCAAAAACTCCGAACTTTGCTTTTTGTGACACATTTACCCCAATGTATTTAGTCCATGGGCATTTTCGTCTTTTTTGCTTTTTCTTTTTTTTTCTTTTTTTTGTCCTTTCCGGCGAGGGGGGCCCTCGCCGGCGTCGAGCGAGGGAGGCCCTCGCCCGATCTGGCGAGGTCGACCCTCGCCGGCGTCGAGCGAGGGCGGCCCTCGCCAGATCCGGCGAGGGCGGCCCTCGCCGGCGTCGGGCGAGGGTCGCCTTCGCTGGGTGAGCGAGGGCGGCCCTCGCCCGGCGCCGACGAGGGCGGCCCTCGCCGAGATCGGGCGAGGGCGACCCTCACTCGGCCGGCGAGGGTCGCCCTCGCCCGATCTAGGCGAGGGCCGCCCTCGCCGGCGCCGGGCGAGGGCCGCCCTCGCTCGCCCGTGCGAGGGCGACCCTCGCCGACGCCGGCGAGGGTCGACCTCGCCGAGATCGGGCGAGGGCGGCCCTCGCTCGCCCGGGCGAGGGCGACCCTCGCCGGCCGCCGCGAGGGTCGCCCTCGCTGAGTCGGGCAAGGGCCGCCCTCGCTCGCCCAGGCGAGGGCGAACCTCGCCCGACGCCGGCGAGGGCAGCCCTCGCCGGAAAAGAAAAAAAAAAAAAAAAAAAAAGAAAAAGCAAAAAAGACGAAAATGCCCATGGACTAAATACATTGGGGTAAATGTATTACAAAAAGCAAAGTTCGGGGTTTTTGGTGTCACAAAAAAAAGTTCGGGGTAAATGTGTCACAGATGGCAAAGTTTGGGGTTTTTAGTGATTTTTTCCCTATTTTTTAATGCTATAAGAGACAATCGACTCATTAATCCTATCTTCTGTAATATAATGTGCTGGTGACTTCAAGGGAAGATCAAGGAGCAATATTGGGCTAGTAAGGAGAGGCCTTATAGGTTTGTAAGAGTCAAGGAATTTTCTAAAGCATTTTCATCATTTCACAACGGTAGGAAACTAGGCGACCAGCTTGTGATCCCATTCGACAAGTCGAAAGGCAATCCGGCTGCTCTAACAACTAAGAAGTACGGGGTGAGCCAGAATGAACTGTTGAGAGCTTGTGTTTTGAGGGGACTTTTGCTAATGAAGAGAAACTCATTTGTCTATTTTTTCAAAATGTTCCAGGTGAGCAAGTTGAAATACTGGTTTTCCTAGAATAGTCTGCAATACTGACTAAGTGATGCATTTGATCTGTCAATAACATTTGCAATGTCCTAATACTTCCTTTTTCGGATGCATATCAGCTTATCCTCATGGCTTTCATAACAATGACGGTGTTCCTACGGACTGAGATGCACCAAGATACTGTGATAGACAGTGGGATTTATTTTGGCGCTCTCTTCTTCACTGTGACCATTAGAATGTTTAATGGATTCTTGGAGCTTGCCATGACCATCATGAAGCTCCCTGCCTTCTACAAGCAGAGAGACCTCCTCTTCTTTCCTGCGTGGGCATATTTGCTACCCACATGGATCCTGAAGATACCGATCACTCTTGTAGAAGTTGCTATTTGGGTTATCATGACTTACTATATCATAGGCTATGACCCTACTTGCTGGAAGGTTGATCAAATTACAGTTATTTAGAATTTCAGACTTTGATCCAATGGTTCAGATACTGATAAACTCTTTGCTACCAGGTTCTTCAAACAGTATTTTCTGCTACTATGCCTACATCAGATGGCGTCTGGATTATTTCGATTCATCGTGGCAATAGGAAGGAACGTGATAGTGGCAAATAATTTTGGATTACTCGCCATTATGGTCTTGGGTGGATTCATAATAAAAAGAGGTCAACCGGATGTCTAAAAAACTATTCTTTCGATTTGCATTCACATATGCAATTTCCTGATGTGACATAATTTGAAACCAGATGATGTTAAGCCATGGTGGATATGGGGTTATTGGATCTCCCCAGTGATGTATGGACAGAACGCAATCGCTGTAAACGAATTTCTCAGAAAGCAGTGGAGACATGTAAGCACCTTCTTATGAAACTGTCGTTAAAGACTATACAAAGAATTAATGAAGTTCGCTAAAATTTTTGGAGTACCAACCGCTGAAGTTTCGGAACTCCTGTGGTGCAGATTCCTCCTAACTTCACGGAACCTTTAGGAGTTCTGGTCCTGAAGTCCCACGGAATTTTTTCCAAAGCGCGTTGGTATTGGATAGGAGTAGGAGCATCGATTGGATACTTTTTCTGTTCAATTTCCTGTTCACTGTGGCTTTGAAATATCTCGACTGTAAGTTTCTCTTCACAAGGCTTTTACTTTCATTGGATTCGGCATACAGTTTTGTTGAATGACTTCCACTTTGCAACAGTAATTGGGAAGCCTCAAGCTGTACTATCAAAAGAGACTCTGGCAGAGAAAATCGTGAGCAAGAATGGTGAGGTCATTGAGCTATCGTCAAGGAGCCGGCGGAGTTCATCCAGTGAGCCGCAGAACCAACACATCTTGTACTTTTTGCCTATCGAGTAGAACTTAAGCTAAAGGGATCATTAACGTGATAATACAGAAAAAGAGAGTGGATGCCAAAGAAGCGCCGCACATAGAACATAGTCTATAAGAGTCGGGAGGATAAACGAGTAGGACCTGAATAGGAAACGAGGAATGATTCTTCCTTTTGAGCTGCTTTCTATTGCTTTCGATGATATCAGATACACCATAGACATGCCCCAGGTACTGTTTGCTTGGAAGATGCTTTGGTTCCGACAATTGAACTGAGGTGCAGAACTTTTATATGTGCTGAACATGACTGAATCAGCGAGTTGGTTTTTTCATTTGCAAGAAATGAAAGCTCAAGGTATTCCCAAAGATCAACTGGAACTTCTAAAAGGTGTAAGTGGTGCTTTCAGGCCAGGAGTATTGACGGATTTAATGGGTGTCAGTGGTGCTGGAAAGACCACTCTAATGGACGTGTTGGCTCGAAGGGAAACAGGTGGATACATCAACGGGACGATCATGATATCTGGGTACCCAAAGAAGCAAGAAACATTTGCTCGCATATCGTGATACTGTGAACAAACCGATATCCACTCTCCTCCGCTCACAGTTTACGAGTCCTTGGTGTATTCTGCATGGCTGCAGTTACCTCCGCAAGTGGATTCTGAGACTAGGAAGTTAGAGATATTACTTGATCCATTAGTTTTATGTCATCTGACATCTTAGGTGAATTCGACATCATTATCTGTAGAAAAAGATAATTACAAATTTTCCAGAAGACAGTTTGGGTTTTCTCAAAAAGCTATGCCAGATTGAATTTTTCTTAGGGTTTACATTGTTCACCACATAGATCGAAAGAATTTTTGGTATCTCTCTAAGGATAACCACCGCTCATAAACATTTTAGACAGCGTAAAAATGTGGCTGCCATCGAGTCCATCCCAGCAATAGAGTGCAAAGTAGAAATTTGATCCAACATCTGCAGATGTTCATTGAAGAAGTAATGGAGCTCATAGAGCCTACCCCGTTACGAGAAGTGCTAGTTGTGTTGCCTGGTGTGAATGGCCTCTCCATCGAGCAGAGGAAAAGGCTGACGATTGCAATGGAGCTCGTAGCCAACCCATCCATCATATTCATGGATGAGCCTACCTCCGGCCTTGATGCCAGGGCAGCTGCTATAGTAAATGAGACCAGTTAGAAACACAGTTGACACAGGGCAAACTGTTGTTTGCACCATCCACCGGCCGAGCATTGACATATTTGATGCTTTTGATGAGGTTCGACACAAATTCTCATGAGGGACTGAGCTATCTGTTTGCTTTCGTCTTTGCACATAACGAAGTATCTGTATTTTTCTTATTAATATGCAGCTGTTTCTTCTGAAAAGAGGCGGAGAAGAGATCTATTTCGGCCCACTAGGCCAGCATTCCTCACACCTAATCAACTACTTTGAGGTGAGCTCACTGCTGCGCAGTAAGAAACTGAGTTTAGATTACATTGAGCTTTAAACACTAACATTTCATGCGTTCAATCAAAGGGCATTAACAGAGTTCCGCAAATTAAAGACGGATACAGTCTGGTGACTTGGATGTCGGAGGTGATGACAGCTGCTCTAGAAAAAATCCTCGGGGTTAACTTCACTGAAGTTTACAGGAGTTCAGAACTCTTTAGGTAAGAAGTCACTTCACCAGAAGCAGAAACCTTTTCGTTTTTCGGCTCGATAACATCAGAGAAATTATCATAAAATTGAAGGTTGAAAAGAAAAGAGCTTCGAAGCGTAGTAGCAGAACTTTTACCATGTCTCGTGTTCTCCAATGATTAAATCAGGAGAAACAAACCTCTCATCGATGAACTAAGTACGCCTCCACCGGGTTCGAAAGATCTCCATTTTCCTACGCAATATTCACAATCGTTCCTCACCCAGTTTATGGCTTGCCTATGGAAACAACACTGGTCATATGAGCGCAACCAGGCATACACAGCCGAGAGTTTTCTATTTAAAACTTTCATCGCCCTGATGTTCAGCACAATATTTTGGAACCTCGGCTCCGAAAGGTAATAGACAGAATTTCATACGCATAGATACTCTTTTTGGGTGCAAAACACATGGAAATTGGACTCGGGAAAAGAAGTATAATGGCTCGGTTATGGACATTATTTGCTCAAAACTTGTGGGACTTGCAGGAGAAAGCAGCAAGATCTCTTCAATGCCATGGGCTCAATATACGCGGCTGTCCTTTTATTGGATTTCAGAATATGAAGTTGGTTCAACCCGTTGTGGCGATTCAGAGGACCGTCATCTATAGAGAGAGAGCCGCTGGAACGTATTCTGCTCTGCCCTATGCCTTTGCATACTTAAGGACATGTTTCACTTTCCTTAGAAGGTGCAAGGCATATGAGAAATCGATCTGAATTCGAATCACACATGGTCGACTGGTTGTAATCCTCCTCTCAAGTGGTTTGAGGAAAGGAGATGAGATTAAAGGAGAGAGAATAAAGAAATGTTGGGGGGAGGAAGAAGAAGGAGGAGGAGGAGGAGGCATCTAGGGTTTGCACCTATTCCGCTAAATAAGTTAGCAAAGTGTCAACGTTCTGTTGCATGAAGAAGGAGCAATGTTCAGGAAACAAATAAAAGATTGTTGCATAGAGAGTCAATCTAATTAGTTACATGGTAAACTCCACATGAACATTTTAAGTTCAACATTACAATAATAAGATCACACCCTCAAGTTGAAGATGACTAAACTCTTCGGTTCTTATTTAGGCTTACAATAAATACAGTGCACCGATTGAATTAGTACAAATTTAGGATTAAACAAGTCTGAAAAAAAAAAACACTTGCAAAACGGGCAGTTTTATTATTCTAGAAATATGTTGCGACCAACTTATTTTTATATTTTATGCGGAACCCTCTGTAATTACTTGATGATTTGTCGAGCTTTCCATCAGCAAAAGCGATGGCTACATCATAGGGAAGATAGAGGAATCGGAAGCAAAGTTTGTGACAAAGATACTCCTGTATTTTGTGACTGTTGCTAATAATTGATTTGAGCCCCTCTCCTATGATTTCTTCTTCCTTTTTCTTTTTCTTCTTTTGCATACTTACTTCTTAAAGTAAAATGCATGCATAATGGCATATGCAATTGAGAAATGAAATATCACCTTCGTGACATTAACGATATTCACAAACATCTAAAATACTATACCGCGTTTCGTATGTAAGAGCATCTAAATTTCAGTTCACTTCTTCACTTGTCACTAGAACACAAATTCTTTGTTCAAAGCGGTGGTCTTATACTTAGGTGCACCTGAATATCAATTTGATTCACCAATAATTTGCTAGGTCTATATCACCACTTCAATCTTGAAGAATGGTTAAGTTGATTGAACTCTCAACAATAGATCACCTTTAAGGAACTTTTCGCGGCGAGAATTACTTTTCTATTTTGAGATCGCCGTCACCAAACGGCATATTGAACCCTTAACAACAACAAAAAAAAAAACCCGACAACGGAATGTTAAAAGGAAAAGGGGAAAAGGAGCCAAACACCACTTCAAAGCTCAGGCTCTAGCATGGCATTCGACTGCAAGTGCAAAGCTGCGTCCATCCCATCCTTTGTCTATCAATTTTGTGACTTCCCATTTTCACCTTTTGGAGCCAAAAACAAAGAAAAACGTTCAAACGACCAATGGCTATCCAGAGACATACCCCGCCCCCCGTACCCCCAATCCAAAAACAGACAGGCAAGCAGACGGCGGCGTTAGCCGAGGAAGTAAAGTTGCCGTTAAAGGGCGGGACAGCTGTTTCCTAACCATCTCTTCCCCGAAAATGTCATTTTTTATTTATTTAACAGCTCCAATTCTTTAACCACCTCACCCGATTTAATCACTTCCCATATTCCTCCTATTATGGAGGAATGTGAATTAACAACTTGGGTCATGACTTATGATGTCGTTGACATATTTTTCACGAATCGTGCCGACCGTGAAGGAATAGTCGCCCCCAAAAATCAAATCGTATTGAATGAAACTAAACAGAGAGGCTAAGAGACTATGGAATTGATATGGAGGAGAATTGGCCAATTCATTCTTCGAGTCATCTACTATTGTCCGTAGATGGGGAAATAGTAGCTTTTTCGATAGCTTAGATGTTGATCTACTTCTGGGTTAACTAGATCGATCACTGCTTTTTCTCGAAGCGTCATTTTTAACGTGAAGCTAATACAATTGCTGCGTGCATGATTAAGAATATGTTTTTCTAATGATACCCGTACAATTAGAGCATTTTTTTTTGGCTGAATTATTTTGATAATTGTGAACTAGTTAGTGGTGGAGTGTTGGTGCTCATGATTGGTGTTCGAGAAAACAGATGCGATTCAAACCAAAGAAACGAAAGCTCAATGGGTGGAACTGAGGAGCCTTTAACATTTGATTCCGTGAACTCGCAATATAAATTATGCAGATTTAAGTCGCCCAAGTGTCTTGTCCTCGGAAGGGAGGTCACTAGTGGAAAGACATTTTGACAAAAAAAAACATTGAAGAGGGAGGGACCCAATGAGATGAATTAAAAAGTAGATATGTGGGGGAGTATAGTTTCGTACTTTTTTACGAGAAAAATCAACGAATAAAACGATAGAGTGCAAGGCATATTAAAACCCCCCACGTACGATTAGGTCTTTTTTGGTAGGGCATGGATCCCCAGTCACATCGTTTCCTCAAAAGTACATGCATATTACAATACCCTATTTGCGTTTTGTTTAATTCTGAAATTCAAGGAAAGGTCAAGCCTGTACTAGAATTCACCAAAAGGCTCCAGATTTGCCTTTATCGGCCAAAGTATTATTGGAGAAAAACATTTGAACAAAACATTTAATGGGATGGTGGGCCCATGCTATGGATTTTGTGGGCCTGCGATGTAATTGGTGGAAGAGAGAGAGGTTTGTGGTCCGGTCCATCACCACGTGATCAAAATGCCAAGTCAGAAAGTCAAAAAAAAATTCGAACAAAAAATAAGTAAGTCAAAAAGAAATCCGCACAAAAAATAAGTAAATAAACTCAAAACAGTTAAGTATAGCCACCTTCTGTGAGAATGAAACTCTCCATCACATGGTTAAATATGCTGCGCTCTACCAACTGAGCTAAGACAGCTTTGGTTGTGATTTGCCTGTGATTGAGATTTCTCCACCGTGAGGAAACAAGTCGCATGCTATTTCAACAAATATTCTGGTCAATTATTGACACAATCTATTAGTTTAAATCCATGAAAATAGTTAGACATAGATTGTTATAAATGATGAAAATATTTTCCGTTGATTAATTTTTTTAATCGATGTAAGTAATCATTTTTTTGGGAAAATGTTGTCCAAATCACTCATTTTTCGCGAAATGAACGCATCTTTAAACGATTCAAGACAATATGTATATATATACATATGTGTGTGTGTGTGATGGTTTCCAACTTTATTTGAGGCAAAACCATTATTTTTTTATTCTAATGTAAAGTTGGCATATGACCACCGAAGAGATATGGTTTTCAAATATCATATGATGACCAAAGATGATAAGCTAATTTATGTTATTGATTTATAAAATAAGTTAATAACTTGCTCAATAATCAAATATCCAATCTTAAATTTATTAAACGGCTAATGTTCAAAAGGGTGAAAGCATCACATACTATCTTTTAATAATAGAGGGAGATGTTAATTTAAAATGAACATCACAACATCATATGATCAAATTATAATTCGTGAATTTTTACAAGATAACAACCTGAGGGACTAAGACATGAATTTTAGAATTAAAGTCTCTATAGATTGATGCATCGAAATTGAAAATCTTCAATTAATTTTTTGTTTTGGTCTTCATCCTCTATTAACTTAATCGCCCTTTATAGGGATATTTGAACGGAGTTCACATAAATAATTTAAATAAATAGAAAGCTCTAAATCTCATCGGGGTATAACTTTTTAATTCCCATTAACTCGATTTTTGCACATACGGAAAGCCCACGAACCAATTATTTAAAAATGTAGTTCGAATTTAAAAAAAAATATCAAGATCACATTTCAAGAACATATTTTTTTTTATTCTAATGTAAAGTTGGCATATGACCACTGAAGAGATATGGTTTTCAAAATATTATATGTTTCTAGTAATCATACCATCGGCCGACAAGCCGAAGGCGGAGGCGAAGGCAAAGTAGCCTTTTTAGTCTCTCCTCCTTTGGGGTTGAAGCGGTCCCCCTCCCTCAAAAAGCTACCAAAAAAACAAGAAAAAAGAAAAGCCATCGATCCACTAGTTTTCTTGAAATGCAATCCTGACATTTTTATTTTTGAAATTCAAACCATATTTTTTAGATAATTGGTTCATGAGCTTTTCGTAGGTGCAAAAATCGAATTAATGGGACATCGAATGAAAAAGTTATGCCCAATCAAAATTTGGTCCAATTAGGTTAAAAAATATATAAATATCATTTTTTCAAAATTTTCCGAATCAGGTTGTTTGAGATGCTTGACATTGTGAGAATTAAACCAAGCATGCATTTATCAAACGACAAGATGATGCCCAGTGCCTTCAGATAGCTCACTATCTCGTCATTCAGCAATGTCATGGCGTGACGCGTGCACAATACCGTTCCAGTGTAAGTAACTAAAAGAGAGAGAAAAGAAACAAAAAGCAAACTTACTCCGCTTGCAAATCTAGGTCGGAAGGCAGCAAAAAGGCAAGCCAGGCCCTCCGAGCAAGAGATATCAAAGCGATGATTGCGGTGGTGGAGGTGGAGAGAGAAACGCATTGGACCAGATCGATGATGGTGTGCGTGGAGGAGGTGGAGGAGATTAGGCCAGGCCTTTGTCAATTTTCCTTTCAATTTAATCGACTATCATTTAAAAGATATTCGACGTTACAAAAATACCCAACTTTACATGATTCTATGATTATTAATAGATCATCGGTTTACTAACTTTTTTCCTTCGCTAACAACTAAATAATGATGGTATATATATGGGGCTCGGCTCTTCTAGGCTTGACAAGTAAATAACAATGGTATAATGGAGCTTTACGGAGATGCAGCTCTACCAAGTTTATGAATTTTTAATTATAAGTTTGAACTAAGTTCATAACTTATTAGTTCGATGTCCAATTAACTTGATTTTTGCACCTACTGAAAGCCCATGAACCAATTATTTTAAGTATGCGGTTTGAATTTCAAAAAAAAAAATATTGGCATCACGAATTTTCAAGAATCGAATCGAATGG